CTATTGATATTAAAATACAAATTTTAACTTTATAAATTTATTATGTTTTTATAAGTTGAGAAAATTGTTTATTGTAAAGTCATTCTTTGATTTTATTTATAATATCATATATTTATTTATAAAAGATAAGAAAAAATAACCAAAAATTTATATATTAATATCAAATTAAATTTATTCTTCATTAAGTTTAATTACATTATTTATTTTTCAATTAGTATTTTCTTTATTTAAATTCATAACTATATCTTTATCTTTATCCATTAAACTTTCATTTAAAAAATCATTATCTTCTTCATAAAAAAATTCTTCTAATTTTTTAATAAGTTCTTGTATTTTTAAATTTAAAACCTTTTCAATAAATAATGTATAATTTTAAAAGCTTTGTTTTAATTTAATAGTATATTTGTTTAAGTTATATTATCCTATAATTGTAATTCATTATTATTAGTATCTAATGTAACCAATCAGATTGCATATATTATTTTAGTATTTCTAGATGAAAGATCAGCATTAGGAAAATTAATAATCAAAAGTAATAATTCTTCATTAATTATTGCTTTATCTATTGTTTCAGTATTTGTTTTTTGTAATAATTCAATGATTGATTTTTCTGTTATATTTAATACAAAATAAGAAAATTCTTTTTTAATATTATTATTATAATAAGTATATAATTTACTTATTAATTTAAGAGCTTTTTATTTTTTTCTTTTCTGTTAATCAATTAAGCATTGAAAAGTTTTTTTTACAATTAGCATTATTAGATATTATTAAAAGTATTTTTAAAGTGAATATTTGCAAATAATTTAGTTTTGGTTTAATAGTATTTTACTAAACTAATAGATTATTATGATTAAGATTATTAGATAAAATTTTGCAAAATTATATTAAAATCTTATTAAAAAATCTGCAAAATTCTGGAAAAGGTAAAACTATATTAAAGTTTATAAAAATGTAAAACTATATTATAACCTTAGTAAAATTTAATGAAACTATTATTTAAATATTTTACTAAATCTAAAATGAGTTTAAATAAATCATTCATTTGAAATAAATGTAGCTAATATATATAAATATTTTCTATCTATTTTGGACAAAGTCAAAAACTTTTGTCTATTATTAATATATTATTAAAATGGATCCATTTCAAATAAAACTTGTAAATTTTAATTATTTGAAGCATTAGTAAAGAACTATTTATTGTAATAACTTAATAAAAATATTTTATCCTCTATTTTATTTTTATCACAAATATCAATTTATTTTTCTTTTTTAAAAATTCATCATGATTATGTTACTCTTTTACTAAAATCTTTTAAAATATATTATCAATAAATTAGTTATAAAAATCTAAAGTTTATATAATATTGAAAAAGCAACAAACTTAATTAGTTTCTATTCTCTAGTATTATTAATTAAATTTAGTCTAATTTTAATTAAATTAAATATCTATAATCAAAAAATTAATTAACTTAATTATTCATCAATTCTATTTAATTTGATTAAAAGTTTTATTCTTATATAAATTTTAAAAATTAAATAAAAATTCAACTTTTATAAAATAAAAAATTTTCTTATTTATATATAATTAAAATAATTAAAATGGTTAAAATTACATTATATCACATAATTTTTATAATTTAAAATATTGTAATTATTTAAAAAGTTGTTATTTTATCACCTATTAATTATAATTTATTAAAATTTATCAAAAACTCTTTCTATTGATAATCTAAAAAAAGTATTAAACTTATCTAATTAGTATTTTATATAAATCTGAATTAATCTGAATCTAATTCACTATTAATAAAAATAAAAGATTTTAAACAATAGTACTAAAAAATAAATTGCTATTTTTTCTTTATAAATAAATGAAAATATTTTATTAACAAATATTAATAAAAATAAAAGACTTTTACTGAAAATATAGAATAAACTTCTTTTAATATAATATATAATATTATTAAAATAATGTTTTAGCAAATATTGTTAAAAATAACTAAATCCTAAAATCTAATAAACTGATTTAGTTAAAATAGTCAAATGAAAATTGATAAAATTATTATTTTATCATTAAATATAACTCTTATACAAATAATACTTTTTATTATAAAAGAATATATACAAGTAAATAATATAAATAAACTTAGCAAATTAGTTGTTAAATTATCTAAAAGGAAAATAAAAAGAAATGTGATTTAAAGAATTAGAAAATGTAGAATTTTTAATTAGCAAAATGACATAAAAGATTATTTTTATAATATTAACACTATAAACTCAAGTTAGTTATATTCTTAATTTTTTTCTTAGTGTTATTAAGTGTGATTAAGATGTTAAGATCTATATAACACTTAACTTCACTAACTTTATGTATTAAACTTGATAAATCTTTTAAGTATAAATCTTGAAAAATAATATTATGAATAAATTTAATTAAAGAATTTAAATGATAAACTCAATTACAAATATTATATAGGAATTATATCAGATTATATAAAGACATAGAGAGATAAAAAGATATAAGTTTTAATTAATTCTTTTATTAATATTGAAACTTGTACTCATATAAGAGTTAATTTACAACATAAATAAAAGTTTATATATTTTACAAAAATTTTCTTATTATAGCTAATTAATTGCTATACTATAAACTAACTAATTTGTCTAAAGCTAACTAAGGATATCTTTAATTAGATGATTTGATATAATGTTTGTTTATTCACAGGTGTAATTGACTAATAAAAATATATTATAATATTATTATATGATCTGATTTCAGGTGTAATTGCCTTTAAATTAAATAATAAAAATTTAAGAGTTGTTTTCTGTGATATATTTAAATATTATAAATTAACTAAAGCTCTAAATTAGGTCAGATCAACCTGTTTATCTGACATGAAAATCAAGGTCAGATCAGTAGATTTTCAGGTCAACCAATTAGCATTCTTGAATGATATTTTATCATTCAATTAGAATGTTTTATTATTATTCTTGAATGATGGTTTTATTATCTAAAAAATAATATTTTATCATCTTAGAATAATATTTTATTGTCTGAAAATGATAGTTTTATCATTTAATTAGAATGATTTATTATCATCTGAGAACAATAGTTTTATCATTCAAAAATAATAATTTTATCATTTATCAATAATAATTTTATCATTTAGGAATGATAGTTTTATTATTTAAGAATGATAATTTTTTTATTCAATACAATGATTTATCATTCAAGAATAATGATTTATCATTTAAGAATAATGTTTTATAATAATTCAATCAGATCAAATTAAGTCTTATAATTTATTTTAAATGATGTCTTATTATTCATTTTGAATAATTTTGTATCATTCAATTAGAATGATTTATCATTATTCTAGTTATTATCATTTTTGAATATTCAATTAGATCAATTCTACTGACCTAATCTTTATTTAATATTATTTAACTAATAAATCAAAAAAAAATATTTTTTAGATCAGGTTAGATTAGATTAAGTAAACCTGATCTAACATATTAACCAATCAAATTACATATATTACAATTTTTAGTTTATATGATATTTATTAAAAATATAAAAAAATCAAAAAAAAAGAGTAAAATAAAAATAAATAAAAATTAGAGTTTTAAATCAGATTAGATATAATATATCACTAGGTCAGATCAGGTCAAATGAAACTTTAATTCAGATCAGATTTTTGTTTGACCTGTCCTGATCCTCTCAGTTCAGGTAATTTGGTTGATCTGATCTGTTCAGAACTCTAGTTAAAATCATTTTTTAAAAATAATTTTATACCTCCGGTAGAAATTAAATATATTTTTTTCTACCAAAATAATTTAAAAATAATTCTTTTAAAAAAACTCGTCACCATAGTAAAAAATTTTCTATAAAAAAAATTTATACCTCTATATTTAAAAAAAAAAACAAATTATCAACTTAGAAAATAATTTTTACACTTCTATAGCAAAAAATATTTTAAAATAAATTACTTTTTAAAAAATTCGTCGCCTTCGCAATAAATAAATTTTAAAAAATATTTTATTTTTTAATTTAAAAATAAATTATTGTCACTACTGAAATAAATTTTAAAGTATAATTTTTTTTATAAAAAAACACATCGTCACTTAAAGCAAAATAATTTTTAAAAAATAAATTCTTTAAAAAAAATCTTCGCTCCGTAATAAAATAAATAATTTTTTAAAAAATTCGACTTTCTATAAATTTAAAAAATCACTTTCTTTTTATAAAACACCATTAGTAATATCTTAAAAAAAATTCCGCAGAAAGCATTTCTTAAAAAAAGTCAAAATGACGCTATTAAAACGGTTAGTATTTTTGACATTATTTGTCATCCAATAAATAGTGATAATGATGTGGTGGTTCAAAAATTTTTTTTTTTTACCTGAACTAGGTCAACTTGACGTTCATCGATGATCTATTTCATCAAGCCAATTTTAAAATTTGTGTCTTATCATTTGATAGTAGGACGTAAGATTTTTGTGAAAAATATATATCACATGATTAATATAGGGAACCGATCTTTTAAATTATAATTTTCTATTTAGTTAATCTTAAATAACTTTAATGCTTTTAAAATTTTTATTTTTCTTGATATTAGATCGCGAAACATTTTTTTAATGTACTTCAAATTGTCAACGCAACATAATAATGTTTGTCAAATAATACATGACAGGGACCATTACATCCTGAAATTGTTTTGAACTGTAAATGCAAACTCAAGTGAAGATACTTTATGCATGCTTACAACCCTTATGTTATATATATAATATCTTTAAAAAAGGTAAATTTATTAATGAAAAATAGTAGTTTGTGATATACAAAAAAAAAATTCTATAAATAAATCAAAAAAAATTGATACGACAAATGCCCATTAATATTTAGGAATGAAATTAAAGTATAAACACACCCGAAACATCAAAATAAAAATTCAAGAAAATTCATGAGAGAGGAGAAAGAGAATATCTATATCTTTTAGACCTTAATTCTGGTTGGAATTAAATGAACTTCCTCCTTGTTGAGGTTGAACATCCCCATTTTGAACTATTGTATTTGGTTGAAAAGTATTAATCAAATTCGAATGAGAACTACCAATACTGTTGGAGACCAAATTATCGGTAAGGAATTGTCTCAAATGGAACTCAAGATTTTCTTTGTGTCTGTTAGAAAAATCCAAGGGTGATTGTTGCTGCAGTTCGCTTAGTCTTAAACCATAAATATTTAAGTTTAAATATTGAACAATATTTGAATGTGAAATCATTTCACAAGCAACTTTATAAATTCTTTTATCGTTAGGATGTTGAAAATAAAATTCAAATAGATTGTTTGAGCAAAGACGGTTACTAGATAGGTATAAGTTATTAATCAATAATTGAGATATGAGTTCATTAAAGGTTAACTCTTTATAAGTAACGAGATAAATTTGAACATCGTTGCTTGGCCTGTAATAAAATGACCACTCAGGTTCTTGTGTAGTATTTTGAGCAGGTTGTAAAGATTGATCGTTAATATTATTATTATTTGGAGGCGCAGAGGGCGTATTAGAAATAGTCTCACTAGAAGTTACAGTGTTTTCGTTACCGACTTGAGGATTGTGCGAAGTAGACATCAAATAAAAGCTATAATCAGACTTTTTAAAGTGTTTGAATCTGTAAAGTATACGCGTATGTATACAATCAAGAAATGGCAAGGTTAATTTATTGCGCGCAACGAGTAGTTAGTGTGGAGTTTTATATCTTTTTATTTTTTTTAAAAAAAAAAAATGAAATGAAATGTAATTAATGAAGCTGTTTATGTACGGACAGATGATGATCCTTGCCCTATCTGATCCTTGTCATTGTCATAATTTTTACAATATACAATATAAATAACAAAATATACATACAATATAAAATTAAGGTTGTTAACCAAATCCAGTCATTTCGTGTAAAAAAAAATTTTTTTTTAAATAAACTCATTATAATTATGCATTGCTAGAAATAGACCGCTTGTAATAAAAGAAAAAATGGGAAAGAAAAAAAAAAAAAAAAAAAAACTATTTATTTTTACTATATGGGGAAAATCAGGTTCCCTGGATTTGAAAATAATCAAACTTTACTATGCTTGTAAGAGTTGAAAGTCAAATTAGGTATTGCAGAGTTAATCACTTTGTTTTCGATCTCAATATATTTAATTATAAATGTAAAAAAAAAATACTTTAAACATCGAATTAATTATGGAGCCATAAATGATTTATTTGTGCAATTAATACCAGTTATATATTTCTTATGTAAAAGATTTTGAACCATTTTTGTTTATTTCAGAAAGTGGAAACTTATTAAATCAAATAGCATTTCTTTTAATTATTTATAACGAGTGTATTAATTTTTTTGAATATAACAATTCAAAAGTTTTTTAAAACTTGTCATTTTAAATGAAAAATGAAAAATGAAATTCTAAAATAACAATTTTAAAATTTGGGTATTTTTATAAATCGATATATACATGATTAAACTTTTGTGAGTGTAAATCGGATTTCAAATTAATTATTTGAGTTGAACTATCCGATGGATTATCAATCCTAGTTAAAATTCGTTATCAAAAACATATAGTGATTACAGTCGTTATCCTCTTTAATGTCATTTCGGAAACAAAAACTTCCTGTAAATATTGCATCGGTGCTGAAATGATACTGAAGGTTTGATATAGAGTTTCGTAACAATAAATAGCTTCTTTAAGTAGCTATTATAAGAGTACCGTGGGTTCAATATCCATGCTTAAAAGTAAAATATCAATTATGATAAGTTAGATAAATTGTAAAATAAGTTAAGACTTTCGCTCGTTAAATTCTACATTTCATGTTACACGATGTGGCAAAAAATCATATACATTGGTTGGTTAATCATTTTCATTTTTCCGTAAACTTTTTGTTAAAGTCGATTATCGGTCGGTTGGGAGGTTTTTTTTTCTTGTCCATTAAATTAAAAATGTAATTTTCCTCCATTAATAATCACTACTTACCAATGTTTTGTTCTTTATAATAAAAAAGGACACAAGTACTGCGTGAGAGAATAATTCTGTCGGGCTAAAAATACAAATCACGGGGGAAGTCAAAAACGGTTTACCCCAGTACATTTCCACATATCCGCGCAATTTTGGAATGAGTCAATTGACGCACCTCAATTCGACCATATGAAATTTATACAAAACGATCAGCTTTTTTGATCGCGTTACACTAAAATTGTAGCCAATAAAATTCAACTTGAAACCGATCTTTATGAACCAATATCTGTCCGAGGCTTCTTCAAAGAACTTTTTTCTGCCAAGACTTTCTGCAACTTTCTTGACCTGAACAGAAATAAGCAAATAAGACGTCTTACTAGAAACCACTCTATCAGCTGGCCTGCCATTTGGTCCTTATTCTCCCTAGACTC